TAAGCACTTTTAGTTGCTACAGTACATGTACCATGTGGTTGACTGAAACCAGGATGTGCCAGATTATTGATCAAGAATGCATGCTGCAGCTGGGCTGTTTTGTTCCTTTTCTTATGTAGATCTACAGTGAAGGAATCGAAAGTGCATGTAACGTGCAATGTGTTTGCAAGTGAAATAATGTAAAGCCCCCCGGGAATACCTGCGCTCGAATCTGGCCCCCGTGAATTCCGCGATTCCGCGGATTGCAGAATTTCCGCAGAATCCAGTAGCGTCCGCTGAATTCAGAAAATCCTGCGGAATATTGCAGAAAAGAGAGAAAAACTGCTTTTTCTGGAGACTTTCAATGTATTTTCACAGCCAAACCAACCTGCTTGTGATTTTCATAATCAACTGGCACAGTGGCAGTATATTTTAGAGCTTTCAATTTTTTCGACCAGGATTTCGCATAATTTTGGTTCAGAATTTATAGGGACAACAAACTTCGGTGGGGTTGCGAAAATTCAACCTGTTTTTACACTCATTTTCCTTGCAGAATTGCCGCAGAATAGAGAAGGATTCGCAGAATTAGCGCAGAATTTACTGTTTTTTAGCCGCAGAATTCTGCACGGAATTTCTGATATTCTGCCGCGGAATTCACGGGGGACAGTCGAATGTACTATCATGTGGTCCATGTGCATGATAATGATAATTGAATTGGTTCAGCACTGTATTCTGGTGTATGTGCTGAAGTTGTTTACAGGTAGAAATTGACGGGGGCACGCCAAGTTAGTTCTTTACATTACATGTACATGTACAGTAGAGCCTCGCTGTAAAGGGGAAGTTAAGCCTGGAAACAAATTTTCACCAGTTGTAGTCTTCGGGGTGCTGAGTCCAATGGTCTCTGTCCAAGGAAGCTGAGACGCTCCCTTCCTCCTTTATTCCCAATCGAACTCGCGCACTTCCACCGAAATTGGGTGACTGCGCCCTACTAGATAGGGATTTGTATGCAAAATGTCACCAAAAGCGCCATTTCGTTCTTATAAAAGTACGGATGACCGCGATTGGCCCATATGTTGTACTAGTAGTCTTTTGGACGCTGAGTCGACTGGTTTTGGTCCGAAAAGGCTGTGATGTAGCATTCGGCCCTTATTCCAACTTACAGCATGTTTGAGCGAGTTTCTATCACTCGAGTTGAACCTTTGAACCTTGGTGTGAAAGTAATTAGTTGTAGCCTGCTGGCGCGGTGACCAAGTAACTTGTGTACGCAGGAGTACGTGATCGCTTGTTCAGCCATGTTCGATTGGGAATAAGGGCCGAACGCTACATCGCAGCCTTTTCGGACCAAAACCAGTCGACTCAGCGTCCAAAAGACTACAACATATGAGCTAATCGCGGTCATCCGTGCTTTTATAAGAACGAAATGGCGCTTTTGGTGACATTTTGCATACAAATCCCCATCTAGTAGGGCGCAGTCACCTAATTTCGGTGGAAGTGCGCGAGTTCGATTGGGAATAAAGGAGGAAGGGAGCGTCTCAGCTTCCTTGGACAGAGACCATCCGACTCAGCACCCCGAAGATTACAACTGGTGAAAATTTGATTTTAGGCTTAACTTCCCCTTTACAGAACACGGAGCCCAAGAACATGCAGCCCGAAATACTAATAATTAAAAGAACGCCAGAAACCAAAGCTGAGAATGGGACATATCATTTTCTACCGTTCTGTAATTCAGCTTTTGTTATATACATGTACACGTGTTATAAAGTGCACACACCATGATCCAGTACAATAAGAGTCTAAGAATGTGCTATAACTCAGAACGCAGCCATATTGCTAAAACAATGACTCAACTGCAGTTCTTTGCGCACAGATCATACTAAGAGTCCATCACACCTTTCCCTTGGGGTTGTGGACTCTTGGCTCATATTCCCATTGACATTCACGATGACGGCTTAAAGTTCGTTCCACTCAGACCTTTGCACTTCACTGAGAATTGAAACTTACTTCAAGCTGTCCTGAGAGTACATTACAACTTTCAGTTTGGCACGAATCTTGCAAGAGAAGTTCATGATGAATATAACATGATTGCAACCCCGAAGAAAACGCCAATGCTGCATAAACTACCTATAGGCTATTGACTAGGCCATTTTCAAGGGACCAAAAATGACGTTGAAATTGCGGTCTGCAGACCCTGGTTAGAACTTTGTCATTTGAACGAAGATGATGTGGGCTTCTATCTCAGGCCCCTCAAGAGTGAATACGGGTGCTGGTGTGTTTCTTTGCCATGTAATACGTCTCCTACTGGTGACGACAGACAATGCATTGGTTTTGTTTTGTTCCAAACGGTGGAGGCCACCACGACCCCATCAAGAACCGGACACCGATGAACGCTTCTGGAAGTGTTTCCACATCGGTGGAGAGTCAAAGGAAAGCATTGATATCTACATACTACCTTGCCCAAAAATTTGGCGAATTTTTCTTTGCCACTTGCCTGATTTTCACGAATATTTGACAGCTTCCCCAAGAACACTCCCAGCGACGTCGAGACAATGAGTAACGACCACTACAACTGACATCCATAAGGTCAAAGGCCCAATCAAGGTGTCCGGAAAGCAAAACTTCCGCAAACGAGCACTGATGGAGAGAAAATTGCAAACGACTCGAGACATCTAACATTTTCTTGACAATTTTTCAACGAAGATTTGAATATATTCAGCTCGGAAAAGTGGCTAATCTGCATAAAAAAGTACAACTTTTAGACGACTTTTTCGGTCTTGGCGCATGGACTGAAAGCGGTTGCACGGTGCTAGTACCAGTACGAGTACACTGTACAGTCTACACAGACTACAGAGCTAGAGACAGAGTAGAGTCTACGTACAGTGAGCATGCACGGCTACAGTACAGAAACACGGTGACCTGACTGTGTACTGTTGTGTGATCCCTGCTGGGACGCGCTCGACGCGTCTTCAACGGTAAACATCGAAGAAAAGTCTTCGATCGAGTCAACCAAAACACGATTCGAATGCCGAGGGCTCAGGCGATCATCCTCGTTCGAATCGTGTTTTGGTTGACTCGAAGGCTTTTCTTCGATGTCTCAGGGACATCCCAAAAGGCCAAGCTCTAGCCAGCAGAGCCTGGAATTTTTGTAAAGCGTTCCTGTGGCGGCGCAACTCCTGCTGCCGCTCCAACAGGAAACAGTGGGAGTGATGAAGTCGCTGTTATTCCAGACAATCCAGTTGAACTTTCGGAGCGGACTGACAGTCAAACTCCGCCAGACGTGGAAGAACCTGTTGTCAGCGAGCAGCCAGAACATAAAGAACAGCGCACAGTGACAAGTACCGCTGCCTATGTAAAGGATGCTTTGAGAGCGGTGAGAAATTGTTGGACTCGCATATTAAAACAAAAGAAAAAAGCAGTTGATTCGCTCACATAACGGCAAATTTGAAGTTTACAATGTACATTTGTTGCTGCGTGTACAGAAATACTGCTCGTGAGTCGTGGTGTGTGAGATTTACGGCTTGTTGTTGTTGTTTATTTTTACTTCACCAAATGAACAGACAGAGATGCCTTCTCACCTGCCCCGGCATAGGACAGGTTCTCACAGAATGATGAAGGGATGATATGCAAGGGAAAACAAGAAAATTAATGATAATAATAATAATAACTTATAAGACAGAAAGGACCAAAAGAAGAAAGGGAAAAATTTATATCAAGAACAATTTCATGGAGTCAGAAATAGAAAGACAATAATTTCATGGAGTCAAAGAATAGAAAGACAATCTCATCGAGTCAGGAACACGTGGTTGATTTTATAGACATGCATGCACAAATGATTGATAGATGAGAAGGTTGGAATTTATGGCAGATAATAAAAGTTTAACGAGGACAAAGTAAGTATATCAATGGCAGAAAGAGCTTTTCGGAAGGGACCAGGGACACGTATCACTCTAAAATCAGAGGGGAGAGCGTTCCAGAGAATGCTTCCCCAAAACATCATGCTCGATCGTACCGCAGGCCCACCGTGGGGACTTGAAGCAAGTTCGACACTTGTCCCCGTGTGGTGCGCTGATCCTCCGGAACAATCTCTGGGGCCGTTCGGGTGAATAACTGTTGAAGAAGGGGCTACAGGAGGAGCTTCTTGACATTGATTTTCAAAATGGCTGACCTGGGACAGTAGCATGATGTCATCTACCCCCACCCCATCCTGCCTTGATCCCGGCCGCAACCCCCCCTCAGCCAAATCCTGGACACGCCACTGGCTGATCACAAAACCGAACACGGCTACTACCTGAGGTATTTGGTGACCTGGTAAGCTGCAAAACGCTTGCACAGCTCAGTAGCACAAACTGTTCAAACAGAGCCACTATGTTTGACGTTGGATGGTGAACAACTTCACGGCATCACAGCTAAGCGTGCTGCAGAGGCTCGATTGGATATCCGTGCAAGGGGCTTTTGGTCGCCACAGCAAGATGCATTCTTTGATGTGAGGGCTAATCACCCCTAGGCGTCTTTGCTGTCGCGACAGGAAGTCCTTGCACAGATTTCCCGGAATGAACATCAGAAGAAGCGGGCCTATCTTCAGCGTGTTGTCGATGTCGAGAGGGAGTCACTCACTCCGCTCGTATTTTCGACAAACGGCATATGTGGCACGGAGTGCTCCCGTGCATTGAAGAACATTGTTTAGCTGGTGGTCAACAAGCATAGTGACCTCCAGTACGCTGTTGTGATGGCGCAGCTACGCTGCAAAATTACATTTGTTTTGCTGAGGTGGTCAATCGATTTACACCCAAAACAGCGCAACCATAAACGGCGCGTGTTCATATTAGCACCCCCAGTACAGCGCGACCTAATGTGACACGGTGTCACTACAGCTCGTCTCATCTCTTGCACGCCCCATTTTGGCGCGACCAATTACCTTAACGTCCGAATATAAGCCAGCTCATTACACACGTGACCCACAATCTGCAGGCTCATGTTAGCAAGAGTGCATAACCAGCTTTATGTACTCTTGATGTTAGTATTACCATGGTGGATATCAGGAGCAAACCCGTTCCTAAAAAAGATATGCAAAAAGAGAAGAAACACATGAGAACGAGTTGTGCAGCAACTATCCACGACTGTAACAAGATGATAAACGGTCAGAAAGTGACTGTGCGATAATAGGGCACGAAACTGACAGGCTACTGAGACGTTCAGCGGCCCGAGACCTAGCTCTAACACATCTCCAGTACAGTGCGCAAACCAACCTTCCAACTTGGAAGGTTCGTGGTTACGTAGGACCGAAGAAGGGACCCCGCGCTCCTATACACATACACACTTACTTGTTCTTTTGTACTTGTTGCTCATTGCCAAACCTGGTCAAGTGGGTCTTTCCGGGAGAGCGGAGAGGGTCTCTAAAGGAATCTTGGAAAGATGACTCAACTGGCTATTGAATTACGCAACGGCCGACACAACATAAAATCGGCAATTCTCTGGGTGAACATGAAAATGATCCCAATATGAGCACACCAAACACACACACACACACATACACACACACACACACAAACACACACACACACACACAACAACATACACATATACAACAACATACACACACACACACACACACAACAACATACACACACACAACAACATACACACACACACACACACACACACACACACACACACACACATATATACACCCACCCACAACCACACTCTCACACACACACACACACAAACACACACACACAAACCACAAACAAACCACAAACATGCACACAAACAGAAGTGTATTGCTGTAAATAATTCGAACAGTAGAGGGCAGCGAAGAAATGGAGAAAGAGAGGATGAGCAGGAATAAAGAAATTATGACAGAAAATGGGTCTGATGTATGTAGAGGCGACGGTTTGAAATGGGACACAGGTTGCAAACCGGAACGGACTCATTATTTACTTTCTCTCTTGATATTTTGATTAGAAAACATATGTCACAGTGAGACTACGATGTGTTATACTCCGGGCCAAAATTTCATGGCTCTGCGATGACCAGAAGCGCCATACCAAGCAGGTGAGTTTTTGACGTGTTCCTTCGCACTGCGACTTGAGTTTTACGACTTTCGAAAAATCAACTTCTTGTCGCAGGTAAACAGTGGCTTGCCTCTCGCCAATAAAACACCGCATAGCAATCAAAACTAATGGAAGCACACACAAGGCTTATTGTTACTCTGTACTGGCCGTCGTGGAGCGATAGCAATTACCTAATTTCAGACCCAGAGTGAATTTGACGTGCACTCTAAAACGTGTCCGGTTTGGAGCCACCTCTGATTTGAACTTTTTTGAAGCGAAAAATTGGGCAACTTGGAGGCAATGGGTCAACACAAAGGAGTGGCTCAATTCGATTGACTTTGGCCCCAGAGCAAACTTCAACATGCCAGTTTCCTTCCACAAACATATTTCGAGTGAAAAATCAACGCTGATGATCGGTTTGGGTCTATACAAATTTGGCTGTCAAGGCGTTCCGGTATCGAGCCGTCTACTCTACAGTGTGCTCATTCTTGTAGTTTCACTAATGAGCCATGACATTCAAAGAGCAGCCATTACCTATGGACAAGCCTCTTGTACGGGCAAAGCAAATGTGCTTACATAATAATATTATGACAGAAAATCTCAATACCAAAAAAATGAACAAAACGTCAAGAATCTGAAGAAAGAAAAACTCAATCCAATACCTATTCTGTGAACAGAAATTCGGTGAACATGCTGTCGATGAACCTGTTTTATGTGAACCTGATTTTCGGCGATATGAACAGTCGCTAAATCTTACACTCTGTGAAATGTGTTTCGGTGAACCGTTGTTCTGTGAATGATTGTTCTGTGAACGCTTTTTTGATGAACCGTTGGGATACCAAACCACAACAACTGTTCATGATACCCGGGTATTCGCAATGACTGTCCCCACTCAGAGTTTTCCCGTCTTGTCCATAGAAATGTCACTCGATGTAATGACTACCTCGAAATATCAGGACACGAAATGTCATGCGCCTCACTGTCCGGGTTACACGGTGGTCAGTGGCTGGTACAACCAGGAAAATAGATTTGCGACATGCAAGGCGTGAACACTGACTGCATGACAAAAACACGCACTGTAACAGACTTAGTTTTACTTTCCTATACCTACTGCACAGGTAACCATGTAGTACTTGAAGTCTCGTGTAGCCTTGTAGGGACATGGTATCATAGACGCCGGGATCACCTCCTTTTTTGTTTTGGTTTCTTTTCCCTCTTCCCACGCATTCCCTTTTTTCGTGCTGATGCTAGCACCACTGGTAGGTATAGTGCGTCCAGACTCACCAACACCACTATTCTGTAGTTACGATAATCTAATTGTTCTTTATCGTTCTTTTCACAATATTTGTTGCTGTGGGATATAGCTTGTGCACATTTCAGCTGCGCTCCCCTTGCCCTCATAGGTCCTAGCACAACATTGAACATTCCAAACTGGAAGTCTGTTGGTGTGGGCAGCTACATGTAAAGTGTCCAGCTGATGTCCTGTTGTTGGCGGGGTGTGGGGGTGTGGGGGGGGGGGGCTGTCTGGCTTGTACACCGGATGTTTGTAGCAAAGGACTATAAGTAAGAGTCATTGAAGCCGTACAATGCCACTACATGTACATGTACATCTATACCGAGACACATGCTACGTTCATTCAGCTACACTTTGCACAACATCACTATGTGTCTAACTAGTGGTCGTCTAAGAGCAGCTGACGCTGACAAAACCTTCTCAGCCTGTTCAACCTGGATGATTTGGATTGGGTAATCCAAATGAACTACAGCAGACATGGACAACATTCTGGAATTCGAAAACGTTTTTTAAAGAACAGCAACTCAAACACGGGCAAGTATGGTCGGCAAATAGCACAACGGTGATATTGATATAGTCAACGTAGAAATGCAACACTACTGGGATAATGCTTGTGTGCAGCAAGCTAGTGTTTAAAACTAAAATCAACCTTGCAATAAACCTGTGAAAGAGAATATGAACACAATCAACATGTATGTATTCTGAAAATGACCAGAGCAAAGTGAACGACATCCACTGATCCAGATGTTGTCCTCATCATGATTTGGGTAGTAACTGCGTGTGAGACTCGTAGCTTCCGGTACTCTGGTCATAAGAACTGGATGCTGTACTTCCAGTAGACAACATCCGGTTGCGTGGATTAAGCCGTGTAGAGTCAGCACGGACACCAATGCTCAACTCGATGCGAGGGTCAATACTGTAAGGTAATAGGAAGTCTGGTATATCGAACCTCCGCACAGGCCACGTTGATTTCCAGTAAACATCACAGGAGAATGGTTTATACACGTACATAGAACAGTTAAATGGCAAAAACGAGTGAAAATAGCACAACGTGTTCTGAAGGTATTTGAGGGCAGATGCAACCACTGGTATGCAGTTGTCACAGATGTTAATGTTTATTAAAAGGTTCAAGCAACTTTTCCACTCTGGTAATGATTTTGCACGGTCAACGATGCTCGCTATTCGTAGAAGAAAAACGAGGCGTGACTCCCTCTGGAGTAAACTCGTATCCAAAGAGTTTGTCTTATGATGAGAAATACCTATATTCATTTGATTTAAACCCCTATCATTATTAATTTCTTTCCAAGTCGTTAGTTGAAAACATTCTAACCGGTAATGTACCCACTCGGTGGGAAGAGCAATTTCTGAACTCGCACGTTGCAGGCAATTCCACATGGTTGTTTGGTACAGTTGACTGGGTGTGAAGTTCTCTATCATCCTCCTGGGAGCTTTAAGATAGCAGAATATACTGTATGTATCATAATCATCATGTTTGCGTTGGACCATGTTCATCCAGTGAAGCGACTCCATGGTAACCGTTTTAATGCATTCCGGAGGACAATTTTTCATTGCTAACGTTACGCTCAGTCTCTGACGGAGTACATGATCAAGCTTCAGTGCACGCAGTACACAACTGAACATCTCGTTAGACGGAATATCTGTCTGGAAATCTCTACACATGAACGTCACTTCAACGAAAAGTTCCACCGTCACTTGAAGCTTACCAAGTTCACAAGACTCAACTGATGGCCCATACCTCGGTGAACAAATTTCCCAATCTACAGTTTGGCGTGTTTTCTGGTAATGCTTACTGACCTGACAAGGACTGTAGATCAGCGTTAGTTTCCTTTTCATGTCTAATGTTGGCGAGATGGAAGAGATCGGCTGGACGTCAGGTAACGGCACTAGATTGCTGTCGTTGACTCTAATCCTAAGTCTTCGTTCTGGCGCGGGAATGGCAGACAACAGGCGTTTTCGAACTGCACCTCTTCACTTGATCCTGGTAAACACTGACTGAACGCTGTACTCCAAGACACACAGGTATTTCTATGTGTGAGAAACCTGTTAGCTTACGGCCCAAGTCTTGCCCATAGCGCTAATCAACTGTGCCTTTGGCGATTTCTGACGCCTGTTCGTGAGTAAGGGGGGGGGGGACACGTGTTGTTGATTCGATACATATATGCCGCAAAAAGTGATTATTTGACGTCCTGGGAGTGGTGCGAAATCCTCGGGGCGTACAGATGTTTTCTCTTCCTTTCTTCTTCGTACAGACTTTTTTCTCTTCTTTTCTTCTTCGTACATACGTACAGATGTACAAGTAAAGTGATGCAATCGTAACTGGTCCAAGGCGCTAGTTTTGCACCTTCGGCCGGATTTCAGTGAGCGTATCTGTAGTTAGCGCGTTTGAGCAGCTTACCATGACACCAAATGTCTCATATACCTGTCTTCGGTTTTGTGATTAACACCTGTACTTCGTTCGTACAGAAAAATGCGTGAATTACTGTTTGCTGTTATTCTCCCGAAATTCGCTTTCTCTCTCTGTCTCCTTCTCTCTCTCTCTCTCTCTCTCTCTCTCTCTCTCTCTCTCTCTCTCTCTCTCTCTCTCTCTCTCTCTCTCTCTCTCTTCTCTCTCTCTCTCTTTCCTTCTCTCTCTCTCCCTTTCTCTCTCTCTTTCTCTCTCTCTCTTTCTCTCTCTCTCTCTC